AAAGGTTGGGGCTTGTCCCCGTAACTGTGTGTGCCTTCTTTACATTTTCTATACAGTGTAAATTGTGTTGTTGTGTTGGCTGAGACTTGGTGGCCCCAAGTGCCATTGCAGAGGCAAAAATTCGTGGTGTAATTTAGCCCTGTGACACCTAGTCAATACACGCACAAACATATATATATATATATATATATATATATATATATATATATATAACCACATCACCAACAGCATAACCACATCACCAACAGCATAACCACATCACAATCACCCCCAAATGCAAGGCGGCGGCATAAAGTCAGTTCGATGGACTCCCCACCATGTAGCGCCACCAAATTGGACATCGCCTAGATCTATTTCGCCGTCGACCACGTCCAACACAATCCAATGAGTAGGTGTTCGAAAGCAGTGATGGCGCACTGATCTGGCTCCGTCGACGTTAACATTATTGACGGCGAGAATGAACCGAGCAGTGAGACACAACGATGACCATCATCCGTGTCGCGTTGGGGTAGATCAACGCCACCGCGACCAATCTCAAATCACTGCAAATTTCTCCAATGGCCGCCGCCGAACGCAGAACTTGTTCCCCAAATCCTTGCAAAGCCGGTGCGGGTCATCTTCTTCACCGCTGATAATTTTAAACCCAGTTTAGTGCCAACTTCTTTCCATCCATAGCCTGTTCGTATCAACTCCGACCTGATGCCATCGTTGCGAGTCTTGACACAAAGACGAAGTTGAGAACAATCTGCAAATCCATGTCGTACGCCTCTTAGACGGCCGTCTAATGGTTCAGTATGACAAGTTTAACCCACTTTGGCTCCTAATGACGATTTGGGTGGGAATCAATTCAGACGCATCAAATCAAGTGGGGAATCAATTAAGATGTATCGAATCAAATCTCACGCTTTGGGCGAAGGCTGTGGTGGTGTCGGTGCCGCCTCCGCTGCGGCCACCGTCGAAGTCGTACTAGACAATCTTGGGGGTATATATATATATATGAAGGTGATGGTGTTTGGTGGTGGGTTTGAGAAGCCATGGGTTTGGTGGTGGTGGTAGTGGTGGTTATTGGTCTATTGTGGTGGTGGTGGTGGTAGTGGTGGTGTAACGAGGTTAGAGAGAGGTGAGGTGTAACAAGGGTATACTCGGGGTAAAAGTGATATTTAAGAGTTTTAATATTTTATAATTTAAATCAATAAAGGTTGAAGGGTAATTTTGACATTTTACATCTTTTAAGGGGTTGTGTGGATCGAATTTTTGATAAAAGAGTGTCATTATTCAAAAATAGGCCAAATGAAAAGTGAAAGAAAGTAGAGGAAAGAAAAAGAAAATCAAGTTTTCATCGCAAGAAAAAATTTCAAGAAAGTTGTGAAAAAAATATTGTTTTGTGAGTTTGGAAAGAATAAAAGTGAAAAGAAAATGATTGTAATTTTCAAAATTACCCTTTTAATTATAAGATTATTTTGTACTTTTTTGAGACACTATCATATCTCTAGAATTATGAAAACAAAATTAAAAATTCAAGTTTGAAGATGAAACAATGAACATTAATATAGTATTTATCTTCTGATGTTAGATAATTAGATATATGTGATCATAGGTGCAAGTTGAACTAATAAAAAAATTTGATTTGAAAAATCTTAAGGATAAAAGGTTGAAGTTAATATATATACTTTTAGTCATAAATAAATAAATAAAAACTAGAGTTTAATTGAAATAAAGTACTTGAAACTAAATTAGTTTGGTATATTAGGTACATCTAATATACGTAAATTTAAAACTAAATGAGTTAAAGTTAAAACTAAATGACATCTAATATACGTAAATTTAAAACTAAATGAGTTAAAGTTAAAACTAAATGAATTTGGTACGTCTAGTATACTTGAGTAGTTAAGTCATAAAGTCACAATAAATCTATATATAAAAATATATATGTATGAATTAAATTATAATTTCAAAACTTGTATACGCATAGACATAACTTATAATTTTTCAACCAACACTCTACTACTAAATACTCAAATTTATATATATATATATATATATATATATATATATATATCACCCTCAATCATTATTAATTATGGATGAAAAAAAATATAATAAAATTTAATTTTACATGCGCATATAAAACTATATACAATTAAATTAATAATTTATAAAAGAAGGAAACGTACTTGTTAGAGAAGTTTGCGGAGAAAGTGAGGAGTGTGACATGGATATAATAGGAAACTAAGATATGAAGGCATCATTTTCACAAGAAAGTAAAAATTTTCAAGTGTTTTATGTTAGGAAAATTTGAGGAAAATTAAACAGTTGTAAAAAAATTACTTTTGTCTTTCACGTTAACTAAACTCTTAACAAATTTAAATATATATTTTTTATTTTTTTCTTTTTTATTTACTCCAATCTAATGAAATAAACTCCAAGACAAATTTAAAAGGTGTTATTGTATTTTACTCATTTATTTATTAATTATATTTTATATATACTCGTAGTAGTTAGAGAAAAGAGAAATGACACTTACCGCCGCGTTGTATTGATAAAATGATCAAAGACTTGTCAAATGTCCAAAAAAAATTGCGTAGTTAACGACACTAGTGGTATTAGATAAAATGCTCACACCGACAACAGACGCGTGTGAACACAAAAAGTCCAGTAAAGAAAAAAGAAAAAAAAAGAAAAGAAAAAGAAGGTAAATAATCACAAAATGTTGAAGAGTGCTAATTGTGGTAGGTTGCGCTACTTTTATTTCTTTCATGCCGTTAAAATTGGTTAGTTTTTAAATGTATTAATTATTTGAATTTATTATTTTATGAAACTCTACAAATATTATTATTTTTTTAAGATAAAAATACTCTTTTAAATTATATAACATTTTATCTTCTCATCTTTTAAATATGAGGATATGTGCGTGTGTGTGTGTAATTAGTGTTATGTGAATGGATTTTAAAAAGAGAAAAAAATATATAGATAGGATAATCCATTTAAGAAGAGATTGATGGATTCTGCTTTTTGTTTTTTCATATATATATATATATAGATATATATATATATATGTTTCTTTTTGTTTTTATTTTTACAACTATCCTTGTATAAATGGATTTTTTTTTTAAAAAAAAAGAAAGAAAAGAAAAGGAAATAATTTATTCACCAAAGATACTATCTTTGTATAAATGGATTTATTATTTTTTTAAAAAAAAAAAAGGAAAGAAAAGAAAAGAAAAGAAAAGGAAATAATTTATTCACCAAAGATAGTTGTCAAAAGAAATATATATATATATATAACTAATTTTGTATTTTTTTAAAAATCTCATAATCTATCTTGTATATGGAATCTTTTTTTTTTTTTTTTTTTTTTTTTTTTCAGAATCCATCTCTTGTGAATGGATTATCCTATCTAATTTTTTTTTTTCCGTTATAATCCTTACACACACGCCCGCGCGCACAACCGCGTATGTAACTATTAAAAGAAGAGAGAAGAAAGATTAGATAATTTAAAAAAGTAATGTTTACATAACCCTATAAAAATAAAAATTCAAATAATCAATGCATTTAAAATTAACCAATCACTGTAAAAGGACCATCATTTGCGCTTGATTGGCACTAATGATTTAGGACTATAAAAAGACAATCATTTGCGCTTGATGGGCACTAATGATTTATCACTCAAAATATATGCTTGAGCGCACTTCTTGTTATACACGATGGTCAAAACATTTTATGAATAATACAGTCAAAAGTGATACATTAATTTAATAATTTTTCATATTTTAGCATTGAAGTAAAACGTATTATAGCAATAAATATTAAATACATTTTTGGGAATAATGGTCAAAAATATTTTTACTTTTAAAAATCATGTAACAAAAAGATGTTACCACATATTTTTTAATTATTATTCAAAACTCTTATTTTATTTCTGATTAAAAAGGCCCTAACTAATTTTGTTGGTTGGTTAATTTGGTCACCATTTGTGTTAATGAAATGGATGGACTGCAGGGAAGTGTAAGCGTGAAAAGGGGTCCTTTACACATGATATAAAGGTTACTTTATTTGAAGAAAAAAATGAAAAATGAAAAAGTGATTTGAGCTCGTGTTGAAATGATAAGGGACCACGTGACAGCCTAACAGGGACACGTGGCTGGTCACGTGAATTTTGTTATGTTCGTTGGACGCATGCCCCAATAGCATGACTGCAAACGATTCCTTTCAATTGTTATCATTAAAGTTGAAAGGACTAAAAATAGAAAATTTCAAAAAAAATAAAATAAAATAAATCCATAATTCATTTACCAATATATATATATATTATATCCATAATTAACCTGTACGTATAGTCCAATGATTAAAGACTAACGAGTATATTGGGCCAACGTTAAAGGTCCTTGTAAAATTACCATCAAGATAAGTTAATTCATGCCAAATTTACTATAGTCATTATTATTGATAAATCAAAACTAAACTGAGTTCATCTCTGAATCAAATGTATACAACCCGTTTGATTCTATTTATGATTCAAAAGGAAAGCAATTCAAAAAAATCCAATTCATTGACTACGTTTAAATTTCTCAAAAAAAAAAAAAAAAAAAAAAAAAACAGTTTTAAAAAAACTATATGTTTTAAAAGTTTCTAAAAATTGCTTTCTGAATTAAAAACCAAACCAAACACAACCATAGTTTCATCAACTTTGTCTCTACAGAAACTTGAAACCCCAACCTACTACTTTGGAAGGTGAAGAAGTGCCAACTACCTTCAGCCTTAGGTTTTTTAAAAACTGCTTTCTGAATGAAAAATCAAACCAGACACGACCATGGTTTCATCAACTTACTTTCTCTCCACGGAACCTTCTACTTTGGAAGGTGAAGTACCAACTACGCTACAGCTACAGCTACAGCCTTCGATGATAGTTCAAACAGATCATTAATCAACATTCGTATATGACAGGAAAATCAATACAATAGAGCTAGAACACATGCCAAGGCCGGAAACTGCACACAACATCAGCAGAACAGTTGCATATTCATTAGTGTAGAGGTCAATCTCAGCTATAGCTTTGATAGCAGAACCCCAAAAACCAGTACAAACTACCTAAAGAATACAGAAAAGAAAAAAGGAAAAATAAAAAGAAATTGTAGAAAACTTATAACATTATCATGATTACCCATCTCTACAAAAATATCACATCTGGCCTTAAATATAAGGAGGAACAAGCACTGACTATAAAGAAGACACTAAACTAACTTTTACTTGTACCCTTTTCCTAAAATCTTTTTTTTTTTCCCCCACTATCCATACAATTAAATCGCATTCATATTTTAAGTTTCGACGTTCTTCTTCTTGCATTTACAAACAGAAAGATGAACAAAAGGAGAGAGACGATTGAAAAGGCAAACCAAAAAACTGTTTCAGAATTGGCACCATATGCTTTGTTGAACATGCTCTCCTTCCTCTCCTGCAATTATCATTTTTAACAAAGCAGGTCATTACAAATACCATGCTGCTGCTTAAGACACTGAGCAAACAGTTCTAAAGTTTTGAAGACGTATATACCTAAGACAAGCTTAAAAGAATGTGCCATAAGGCTAATACAAATAGCCCTATTAAAGATGTATTTCAAGTTTTAACTTGCTATGTTACCTCACTCAAGCTATAGAAAATTATTAGTCAGTTATAGCCCCGATAACTCATGTAGCAAATGCTAGGCAATCCTCCATGTGAAAGCAATGCAATAATTATAATTCGTGTTGCAAAACGAAAAGTTAAAAAATCAGCACATATTGAAAACTTGAAAAGGTTAGAAGTTCCACAAGTTGATGATATATGAGACTAATGCAGATAATTTGATCAAACCATTGTGGTCCATGCGTAAGGCACCAAACACTCTAGAGAGAGGCAGAGAGGGAGAGGTGATGTGCAAGACACTCGTGCAAACTAATAAGGATTTGTCATTCCTTTATGAACTACTAACCACTCTTGCAAAGGAGAGAAGGAAACTGCTCAGCCAAAGACAAAATAGTAGGGGCAAATCTTGGACAAACATAATAACTATGACGAGCCTTGATAAATAGAACATTTGCTACATATTGGGCATTATCTCAAGTATCCTAACACATTCCTTGATTTGAAGCCAATAGAAACTTCAATTATCACGAACCTCACATTAATTCATACACTTATCGTCTACTTAAACCAAACATCCAAGAATATTGCATGTTATAAAGTTTGTTATCGGGTGTGATGTGTCATTAAAGATAAGTAACACAGAATTGTATAACATGCAAAAAAACAGTGAAGTCACAGGAAATCTGAATTCTTGAAAAATATGGCCACTTACTGCATCAACTAACTTCTGCACCATATGTTTATGTTGCTTTGAGAAGATTTCCTGTGCATACTTATAGAGCTCCACATCTAGGCTGTTAAGTGATTTAATCTCCTGGAGAACCACTTCAGGAACCTGGAGACGTGCCTGTAAAATTTAGAAGTTCATATGGTTAGTGAGAGAGAACAGTACAGTTTCAATTTGGCAACAATAAAGATCAGCTGTTGTCCAGAACTGTCACAGCTCCAGTCAAACTGACTTTCTAACCGAAGGACATTCCTTCCCTTGATTTTTCCCTGTCCAACTCAAATCCAAACTGTCAAGTGAAACAGTAATTTTATCTGGAGCAGAATTCTAGAAGGCCTAAGGCAAGTCCTTTAACCTCACCATATCAAGGCTACGGTTTTGTTTTATATAAATTTTTAAAATTAACAAAAATAAAAAGTAATTATATGTAAATGTAAGAAACACTAGCTAGTTATTTTCAGTAGCAAAATAATAGCATTAAAAGGAAGAAAAGTGCACAAAGTGCATAAAGCGAAGTAATATATATATACATTTATTAGACCATTACACAACACTGGTCCTACCAATTTGGGGTGCTAGGAAGAGAGGAGTGTTTATATGCCTAACCTTCTTATTTATCTGCAGGAAATGACTATCCCAGACATCAAACCATGGCCCAATGCTTGGCAGCCTAATCATGTTGAAATGTAATTGAATATATATATATATATATACACACACACATGAAAAAGGAATCTAGAGAAGATAGTTGATGAAAATATATATTAAAAAAAAAAGATTTTAACACATTTTAATTTCTATAATTGACCTAATACAAAGAACAATAACCCAAAGCAGAAAGGCTTCTTTCTCCATGGTCAAATGACAAAAATGCTAGTTTCCTCCACAGTCAAATGAGAAAGAAGCTAGTTTCTTCTACAGTCAAATGAGAGAAACCTTACTTACCTCTTTATTGCTTCCTTCCATTAGACAATCGAGATCTCAACTCAAGTTGTTTTAGTTCTTTTTGTTGCATGGTCAACCAACTCTCGCTTATATTATTCAATAATTGAATTGGATTGAGAAAAGAATTCAATTCATACAAGGCAATATTTATGCAAGCCTAATCTTAAAGGGGTACAGGAATGAGAACCAAGGGTTTTTCTTCAGCTTCATGTCATTTTAGAGCACAACTGCTTTAAAATTCCTTAATCGAGGGCATTTGGGCTGGTTTAACCATCCATTCCTCCAAAGTGAAGTATCTACATGAGGGTTTTGTTAAATAAGATGGCCCTACTTTTGAGGGGACTAATACAAACTGTAAAGAGGCATGAGATATCCATAGCCTAGTGCTTTGTTCACCTTTGGTCACGAACGCTATACCAGGCTTCCATTTGTAATTAGGGTTTGAGGGTCATTTCATTAAAACCATTTCCCCAACAATATTGTTGAGGGAAAGAAGTGAAAGCCGAAATCGAATAAGCGATTCCATTAAGCATTGATGACGACTTCATCAATTATTCTGTCGCTCTGATGCAATGGTTCAAAAGCAAAGAGAATCACAAAGAATTAGAAAGAAAAATCAGAGAGCTGAAGGCAGTTTTTGAGCAAGGCATTAAATATCAGATAACATATGGATGAATGATCCGTAAGCTTTGATGACTCTACCAGTGATGAATTTGCCAATAATTCCTTCAAATTTATTATAAATGATGGCAGTGATGGGTACTCGAAGCATGATAAATAGACTTGTTCTAATTTTGATTTAGAACCAGAAAGAAAGAAGGGGATGAGAATGAGAAGATGAGGTGAGGCTAGACGAAGGAGGTGACAAGACAGATCGAAGGAGGTATAGGCGAGAGAGACCTAGAGATTGAGAAAAGCAAGACAGGGATAAAGAGATACCGAGGGATTGAGAAAAGCAAGACAGGAAGAGTTTGCAGACTCACGATAATAATTCAATAATTCAAAGCTGAATGTCTGATTATATATGAGCCTTTATATAGGAAAATACTAACCAAACGCTAATAAACCCCTAAAACATGAAAATACCCAAATAAACTTAAAATTCAAACATTACCAAAAATAACACAAACAAATATAAAACCTAATTACATCAAATCCCTAATTTCATCTATATGTGTCCCTTCTCCTAAAGTAGAGGCGGGAACACATGCGGCTCATCCATGAAAATCATAATTAGTTCTCCATTACTACTTCAAAGTCACAGGTGGTGATGCCAGCATTGAACCGTTGACGAATTTATTACTACCTTTCTTCCTTCATCAATATATTGGCTCAAAAACAAAAGAGAACTCATGAAGAATAAGAGTGAAAATTCAGAGAGCATTAGGCAGCTTTCCAGTGAGCCATTCAGATTTTGATTGACTGACAGAATAGTGATTGTGTGAGGAAAATGGCAACGTGCGCACAGAAAAAGAGAGGGAAATGGAGAAACTCAAGCAGAAAATTTTATCGGGACAGAAACAAAAATTTTGTATTTATTTATTATGATAAGTAATGAAATGATATCATTAAAGAGTGCTAACAGCAGTGCACCACAAATGCACACGAAGTCCAGAAAAGCTGGAACATACACAAAAGGCAACAAGATCCCGAAATCCCCTATCCAGTACAACAAGACCGAACTTTCTAACAAACCCCAAGAAATTTACAAGAGAAGGCTTCACCTTCCCAGTCTGCTACCAGCATAGAACCCCCAAAAAGTGTCCATCAAACTATGGAGTGGGCTCTCTACCCCTTTGAGAAAACACCAATTCCCTCCCAAAATTCACCACATCAAGTGAAGGGGTTAACATTTCCTTTCTTCATCAACCTCCTGATTTAACCACTTCACAAACCAAAAAAAAATAATAATTCTGCCACTGTGTTGGGGTAGTCCCAAGAAATCCTGAATCAACAGTCAACATCAAGGACCACATCTCCTTAGTCACCACATTGAACAAGATGATGGTTCATCGATTCCCATGCCTCTACACGTAGAACTCTATTTAGTAAGATCCTTCCTTTCTTTTTTAAGTTATCAATCGTAAGAATTTTTCATCAAGCTGCTGTCTATAAAAAGAATCTCACCTAGAAGGGAACCTTAGAGGCTCATTACCTTTCCAAATAAAGCAACTCCATGAAGCCCCAATCAGCACTCCATAACCTAAAATCTACCAGACTTGGAAGGAACCCATCTCATGTCATCCTCCACTCTTCTCGAACCATGCAATTTATATGATGCGTGAAACAGCTCCAAACAAAGCAGCTGTATGAAGTCCCAATCAACAACCCCTTAACCTCAAATCTGCCAGACTTGGAAGGGCCCCATCTCACCTTGTCCTCCCCTCTTGTCGAATAATATAACGCCTGAAACAGCTCCACGACATCTACCTCCCGCATGTTGTAACTTTATCCGAATCTCACACCCAAACCATGCCTCATCAATGAGACAACACCACTACGGTAATCTGCCACCAAACATCCTTAGAGAGAGAGAGAGTGAGAGCGAGCTTTGGTCCGTTGCTCAACAGAAGTTGCAGTGATGTTTCAGAGGACTGTGACTCGTCGAATAAGCCGGATTATCAAAGGAATTCATTTAGGATAAAACACCCTGGCAAAAGATGGACCAAAAAGCAAAAACAGAAATGGGTGGCTTGCAAGGACAGAGACCTCGAACCTGGCATGTATCCTACTTCCCACTTTCGGAGCTCTCTTTCTGCTCCTCCTTCTAATCCTTCTTCTTCAGGTTGACGGATTGGAAGGTGGGGAGGACAGTGTTGTTGATTGGATGTCGTGTGTAGGGGAGGAGGAGATGGAGGATGGGGTAGGAGAGGTGTTGTGGGATAAACAGTGTGGGGCTTTGGATATGATTGTGTGGGCCGAGGAGGGACATCCAAATTTAGGGGTGGTTGAACCCTTGACTGTGGTGAGACCAGAAAGTGTGGTGACTGATGGTGTTAGACAGGATTGTGTTGATGAAGGAAAGGAGTGGGTGAATGATCATATTGATGTTGTTAGTGCACATTTGGCGGTTTCCTTCAATAGTAATTGGAACCACGCATTGGCAATCCTTTACGCAATGGTGGAGGGGAGAGAAGGGGAGATGAAGAAGTCTAGGAAGGGGGGTCGTAGAAAGAGGAATGCACCCCTTTGGAAAGGGGAGAGGGAATTGAGAAATCTTTTCTATGACGTTAATTATGATACTAACGTCGGAGGGGTGTTGGAGAGGGGTAGGGGGGTGATGGAGGGGTGCTGGATACTGTTTCCTCATAAAGCTACGACTTATTTCGTGGAATGTCCGGGGCCTCAATGACCTGGACAAGAGGAAGGTTGTGAAGTTGGCAATGAGAAAATGTGGTTTGTTTGCAAGAAACGAAGATTTTTGTGATGACGGATAGGGCGGTTATGAGTCTTTAAGGCTATAGGTTTGTTGAATAGGAGGTGTTGGATGCTACAGGCCTCTCGAGGTATTCTTATCATGTGGGATAGGAGATGGATGGCAAGGGTGGAGGTGCGGAGAGGGAGATTCTTCATCTCGTGTGCCTTGGTGATGGAGGAGGATGGTTTTAATTGGGCATTGTCGGGTGTTAATAGGCCGATGGAGGATAATGAGAGGGGTGCTGTGGGATGAGCTTGGTGCTGTGAAAGAGACGTGGTTCTTCCTTGGTGTGTTGTCGGGGACTTCAACGTGGTTAGGTCGTCTTCTGAGAGGTCTACAAGCGGTATATGGTCTTTGGCTATGTTTTAGTTTTTGGAGTTCATTGATGGTCATCATCTTATTGATCTTCCTTTAGAGGGCACTGCTTTTACGTGGTCCAGCGGGAGGGACTCGCCCACTTTCTCACGCTTGGATAGATTCTTGATCTCTGGTGAGTGGAAGGAGAAGTTCTCAGATGTGGTTTAGGCTGCTTTGGCTAGGGTGACTTTTGATCATATTCCGTTGGTTTTGGACTGTGGAGGTTTGAGGCCTCGGTGCACTCCTTTCAGATTTGAGAACATGTGGCTGAGAATGGATGATTTCAAGGAAAGGTGCAGGGTTAGTGGGAGGAAGCCTCAGTGGAGGGTACTCAAGAGTTTCATTTTGGCTGGGAAGCTTTGCTTTCTTAAGACAGAGTTTAAAAGATGGAATAAGGAGG